TGTAACTTACCATGTTGTATTTTGGAAAGAAGGAATGACACCTTGCCTGGGGAGAGGAGAGGGAAAAAGAAAAATCAGAATGTTCTCTTGGGCTTCTAAGACTTTCAAGAAATAAGCCCCTTTCTAGTCAGTTTAATACTAACAACAGCTGCCGAGAGGAGGGGAAGTCCACACTATGAGAAATTCAAACCGGCCTCGAAGTTTCTTTATGAGAGGAACTTCCCTTCTCACAAGTAAAAAAGGAAAGCTCTTATCTTCCCTATGACAAGAGTCAGTCACACTGCATAATTAAACAGAACACTTCAATTCCATAACCAAAAAGATGCAAGGGACACATCTGTGAAAACTAAGAATTCCGCTTTGTAAGGCTCTTGGGGGTTACATCAGCATTTGGATCCCCCAAGGACACAGAACTGGAATTTTTCAAGGCACAGGAAGTTAAAATCTTGTCCAAAAAGGAATTGGGACATCTGTTGATTTCAACTCTATATCATCCTTGGCTCCATTCCCAGGGCTGTGAGAAACAGCCTGCAATATCCTCTCACCAGGTTTCTGTTTCTCCTAAAAGCCTTGTCTAGCCATAAATGCAATGATCAATGGGATTTTCTCCTCCTTACTGCCTAGTCAGAAAGTGCTTGCTCTCAGACAAGTTCCTAAACGAAGCCCAGGAAACTAGTGTCTGCACAGGCCTGAGCTGAGTGCTGCCACCTCAGCCTGCCCTGAGGGGCCCTACCCTCCCATGGCAGAACAGTTTCACCACGAAGCTGGGTCAGGCCAGAGAAGCCCTCCCATTCAGCTTAGTACCTCAGAAAATTAGCCCCTTTTTGAGTCATAAGATCTGGCCTCAATGACTCCTAACTGACCCCAACACCTCCTTTCTCTTATCCGAAGGGCCTCTGTCCCAGTCACGGAAACCCATGGCCCAGGGTTACCCCTAAGTCCAGTGCCCCGGCCCTTCTGGGGCCCTCGTTCCCTGCTGGCCTCACCCAAGCCTCGACTGAAACCTGCAAAACGGGCCTCTCTGGTCACAGCCACCGCCCCTGGGAATCTTCCCACCCACCCCCAAAAGTGCGGCCATCTTGGCTGGGGAGGCTGAGGGCGGCTCAGGGGACACAGAGTAACGATCCCAAAGGCACAACCACTACCTTTCGCCCCCAAAGTGCTTTTCTTCGCCTCCAGCAGGATCAGCACTGGCAGCAGACGCACCCAGTGGCAACACGAGCAGCACAAGAGAGCGTTGAGAGCTCCGGGTGTGACCTCCTCACGGAAGAAGGCTCTGGAAGAACGGTTGGCTGGGCATGCGCAGTGCACCAGTGCACGCACCTCCACCCGGAGAGGTCGCAGGAGTGCGGCCTGTGGAGCCAGGAGCCCTTCGCAGAACTTGTCCAGCCTCCAGACCTGCCGAGCCAGCTCCCAGTTCCTTCCTTCACGCGGGTACTCCTATTTACTGAGTACTTACTGGGTGCCAGGCACTGTGTTCAGCACCATGCGCAGACGGGGACCCTTGCCGGCCTTCCTTTCCTAGTGGCGGAGGGAGATGTTAACCATAGGGTTGCAGGGAAACGTGGCACTGCCGCAGACACGGGCTCAGCGAGGCCCCTGCAAGCCTCCCAGGGAAATTATGCTGGCCTGGGTAACTACTATGCAGTAGGGCAGGACTGAGGAGCATGCACAGTGGCTCCAGGCAGAAGAATGGCATCAGCAAAAACAATGCGATGGGAAAGAGCATTGTCCCCTTTGAAAACTGAGACAAGGGCTGGGCGCGGTGGCTCACGCTTATAATCCCAGCACTTTGGGAAGTCGAGGCGGACGGATCACCTGAGGTCAGGAGTTTGAGACCAGGCTGGGCAATGTGATGAAACCCCGTCTCTACTAAAAATACAAAAATTAGCCCGGCGTGGTGGCAGGTGTCTGTAATTCCAGCTACTTGAGAAGCTGAGGCAGGAGAATTGCTTGAACCTGGGAGATGAAGGTTGCAGTGAGCGGAGCTCGGGCCATTGCCTTCTAGTGTGGGCAACAACAGTGAAACTCAGTCTCAAAAAAAGAAAAGGAGAAAAGAAAACAGAGAATACGAAGTGTCGGAGGCAGAGAACTGTGCAAGAAGAGGCTGGAAAGGTGGATAGTGCGGACCGTGCTGGGCCTTAGTTTTTATCCTAAGAAATTTGCATCCTCCTCTCTTTGCTGGAAAGTACAGCCACTAGCTCTGTGATATTTTGCAGCTGACAACCCATCCTTGGCATTAATCTTAACAGCCTGTGAGGTCTAATAATTTTCTCAAATGAGGGAGATGAGGCTCACAAAAAAAGTATTTTGCACACAATCATTAAGTAGTAAAGCAGGAATGTGAGCCTATCTCCACTCTGTGCATGGTCACAGAGAGCACCAAAATTTTATAAGCAAAGGGATAAGCTGTATCAATGGTCACCACATGTTTTCTTCAAAAAGAATTCTGTAATTCTATTTAAGTGTTAATGATCTGTATAGAAACCAGGCAAAAAATATGCACCATGTGACACAAAATGCTAATATCTGCCCTGCTCTCCCCTAATTCTACAGTATGCATTGTCAATGGGAGGAGGGGCAAGTTGCTCCCAAGGGGGACAAAAATCGGTTCTTGGAGAGCTAAAAATATCTTAGATATTACAATGACTAGTGGCCTACCAAAGTTCAACCCTACCCAACAAAATCTTATTTCTTAGCACTTGATTTCTCTCTTTAGGGAGAAATTAAATTTAGTTTTCAGTTAACTATTTTTTCTCAGGGCAAGGTGGAGTGTGTGTGTGTGTGTGTGTGTACATGTGTGCATGCAGCAGAGTCCATAATGAAAAAAATTGAGAAACATTATTTTACACAAATGAAATCTCCAATCTTTAGCTGGTCAACCAAAATAAAGATCACATTTCTTAACTTTCCCTACAGCTAGGTGTAGTCATGTGAATAAGGCCTGCCCCCACAGGATGTGATAGAAAATGATAAAAAAAAAAAAGATAGTTACTTCTAGGATGTGTCTGAAAAGGAGGGACATGCCCTTTTGCTGCCTTCTCACCATCCTATACTTGGAAATTGGACATGGTGGCAGGCCACCTTTGGCCATGTGTGTGAGGGCAGCAATCTAGAGATGGTGACAAAACAAAGGAGGAGCCTGGAAGACCTCATGGGAAAGAGCCACCATCCAAGTGCTGATCCATCTACCTCTGTCAGAGAGAAATAAGCTTCTGTCTTAGCCACTGTTTTTTATTGTCGCTGTTATTTATTTTTCCATAAGCTTTTGGGGTTCTTTAGTGGTGATTTGTGACATTTTGGTGCATCCATCACCTGAACAGTATACACTGCACCCTATTTATAGTCTTTTATCCCTCATCCCCCTCTCACTCTTCCCCACAAGTCCCCAAAATCCATTGTATCATTCTTAGGCTTTTGTGTCCTCACAGCTTAGCTCCCCATATCAGTGAGAACATATGATGTTTGGTTTTCCATTCCTGAGTTACTTCATTCAGAATAATAGTCTCCAGTCTCTTCCAGATCACTACTAATGCTGTTAATTCATTCATTTTTATGACTGAGTAGTATTCCGTCATGTATGTATACCACAGTTTCTTTATCCACTTATTGATTGATGGACTTTTGGGTTGGTTCCATGATTTTGCTGTTGTGAATTGTGCTGCTATAAACATGCATATGCAAGCACATTTTTCAGATAATGACTTCTTTTCCTCTGGGTAGATAGATACCCAGTAGTGGGATTGCTGGATCAAATGGTAGTACTACTTTAGTTTTTTAAGGAATCTCCACACTGTTTTCTATAGTGGCGGTACTAGTTTACATTCCCACCAGGTGTGTAGAAGTGTTCCCTGATCCACAGCAACATCTGCTGTCTGTTGATTTTTTTTATTATAGCCATTCTTGTTCTTTTGATTTGCATTTCCCTGATCATTAGTGATGCTGAGCATTTTTTCATGTTTGTGGTCATTTGTGTATATTCTTTTGAGAATTATCTATAGGCCGGGCGCGGTGGCTCAAGCCTGTAATCCCAGCACTGTGGGAGGCCGAGGCGGGTGGATCACGAGGTCAAGAGATCGAGACCATCCTGGTCAACATGGTGAAACCCCGTCTCTACTAAAAATACAAAAAATTAGCTGGGCATGGTGGCGCGTGCCTGTAATCCCAGCGACTCAGGAGGCTAGGACAGGAGAATTGCCTGAACCCAGGAGGCGGAGGTTGCAGTGAGCC